CCGATGCGATGCGTGCTCGATTCCGCTCGGAAGTCACTTCCATGCACAAGCTGCCTCTGTTTTCCCTGCTCTCCTTCTCTGAAGACTGCACAAATCTCAGGGTTGCTTCCCTGAATGCTGTGGAACACCACCGGCTGAGGGAATTGGTCACCGGCCACGGAGAATGGTCATCGACCAATTTTTGGGCTCTCGGCCATCCATATTTGGTCAGTCGGCACTACAGATGGCCGGCCGGCCAAATCTTCCTGCAGAATCTGTTTTTGACAGCAGCAGAGGGCAAAACATAGCATGGCAATGCATTTCAAGCAATGTATGCACCAACCACATCCCTTATCATGTTTATGACTCAAAGGAGCATGAACTTCGGTTTTCGGACCACCAATTGCGTATTTCAATGCGTGATGGCCCAAGAAACCAAGTATGCATTTTGATATGGGATGCAATGCACATAATCAAATAAAGGGGCTCCACCTCTATCATACTCAACTCAAGAGGTAAAGCATGCATGCCAATGCAATGCATCCTAGGTATGGAGGCTAGTATGCAACATGGTAATGCAATGTGTAATGTAGGTAGGTTAGGCACACAACCTAAGTAAAGAAGCATGTAAGGCATGAAGCAATGCAACCTACAAGTATGCAAGACACAATATGGATGTTCAAGCATGCAAGCAAGCATGTGACTTCATTCAATCATGCGACAACACACTAGTATGCAACAACACACAAGGTGAGTATGCAACAACATGCAAAGGGGTGAACTTAAACTAGTTTAGGCAGCTCCCAAACAAGCCTAAAACAGTGGCCAATGTTATGGAAATGAGGGCTTACACACACACACATATGCATGTTGATGTGCCAACACTTAAGCATCAAACAAGAAATCTTTAAGCACACTTAAAGGAGCCTAAACATGGACAATTAGCATGTAATGTAAACTCTGGAAATCATGTTAATAATGGTGCCTAACCAATTTAAACAAGACAAACATGGCATGCAATTGGTCCAAGAATTTAAGGCAAGTCAAGGAGACTTAAACCATGGCTAAGTCAACCAAGCCTCACAAGGCCAAGAGGACTTAAAACAGGTTCAAGGCAGACTTAGACAATGCTAAGGGAACACCTAGATGGCATCTAAGTGGCTTAAACATGCAAGCATACAAAGAAGCACATTCATGGAGCATGAGGCAACAACCTTTTAAAGCAACAAAGGAGTATCAAATGCAAGTATGCAAGCATGTTATAAGGACCGAAATAACATGGTAAGTGGTTCCAAACCACTGAAATAATGCAAGTAATGCATGCTACACACTCACACACCTAAGGCTAACAAGCCAAAATGCAAGGTGGCTATACTAAGCATGCTATGGTCGACCAAAACAACCAAAAACAGAGCTGAAGCATGCTAAAACAAACACAAAAGTTTCACAAAGCTTGGCCAAAATCATACTAGAACAAGGATCAAAACCTAGACTTTGATTTGTACCGTGTCCATAACCTCTCTACTTGTATTATCATATGCCCAAATTACTTGGGCGGTAGGCACAAAGTCTGCCAGCCTAAGGCCGATGGCATAGGCTGTGCGAGAAGGACATACGTTGATAGCCGAACCAGTGTCGACCAACACCATCGGTACCCACTTTTCTCTGCACTCAACAGATATGTACAGAGGTTTGTTGTGAGCTGAGCCTTCCGGTCACAGTTCTTTATCACAAAAGGTTAGGGTTGGCCCAGTACCACCTAGGAAAACCAATCCCACAAGCTGCTCAGGGGTAGTATCAATGGACAGTTTGGCTTTGTCCATTACTAACAGCACAGCTTGTTGATGCACCTAGGAGGCGTTACCCTTGAAGACCCTCTTCACAAATGGTGGACCAGTAGCTTTCTTGAGCTCAAAACGCTCAAGAACACCAAGAACAGCCCTCTTGTGCCTCAGTTCCAAGAGAAGGTGTGATGGTGGGTGTTTGTGCACAAAAGTAAGACAAAACACACACAAAAACACAAAGAGAGAGAGATATAGAGATAGGATATATGCAAACCCTAACCCTAGAACTCAAAGCTCTGAAAAAAAGTTATCTAACCTAAAAGAGGGAGAAGAGGCCTCCTCTTATAGAGGATTCAATCTTGTAAACCTTCCAAGGCAAGCTAACAAGAGGGAGATCCCTCCATATACGTGTATGGAGGGAAGCAAAGTGTATGCCAGCTATCACAGCTGGCATGAAAATATCTGCAAAAGCAGATGAACAGTGGTCGGCCAACTAAAAATGCAATTTGGCCAAAAAAGATGGCCGGTCGACCATCTATAGTGCCGGCCGGCCAAACATTTGGCCGGTGAAAACAAAACACAGCCGGTGGCCTCAAGCCATGGCCGATGATGTGTGGGGATGGCCCACAAGCCATTCCCTACCCTTCCAAGGCAAAACACAAGTGTTTGGTGCAAAACCAGACACAAAACAGTCGAGTCGAGAAATCCTGAGGCAAGGCGCATAGCCGAGACCTCCGAGAACTCAAGACAAACACAAACAAGGATGATCACCGGGTGCTCAAGCGGTGACGTCCAAGTCTTGAGGACGGTCAAAAATGGAGTGTCTACAATAGGCAACACATAGCAATATGCAAATCAATAAGTATATTCCTCCCTCTCAAAACAAACAATGTAAGTCCATACTCAACCAACTCCTGCTTAACAAATAACCTTCTCATCAAAGAACAACAGGCTCCAAAACAAATAGAAAAGACAAAAGTAATATGGTGGAGTAAGCAAGGAATTTCAAAGTTATACCTCAAAACACAGAAGAATTTCCAAGAAATACAATTACTTGAAAACACAATGTGCACAATCTCTAGAAGATTCCTCATGAAAGAAGGTCCTGCAAATGTGACAAGCATAGATCTCATTAGAAAAATGTGTGTGTATCTCTTGGAATTCAACAAACACTAGATTCAAATCCTAATGGTGATTTGATAGCTGGACCTTCTGCAATAGAACTTGCGAATGATGGAGAAAAGCCAAACCTCTTGTGATCAAGGGGTATTTGTTGAGTAAACACGAATGCTCCCCTTCAAATAATGTATACAATTTTATTGCCCACTTATCGGCGGTTTTCACTATAATGAGTATGGAAACCAAACCAGAAAATGATGGAAAAGTTGGTGAAGCCTGGTTAGTGACTCTGAGGTAGCCTTTTCCTCAAGCCATGAGTTACAAACATAGAAGGGTAAACAGTGGAGATGCAAAAAGATGGTAGAAGGTTAAGAGACTCAATATCACCCAAGATATGATAGCACTGGTCAATTTCTCAAGAAAAACCCAAGAAACACCACTAGAAGTCTATAGAGAACTTAGATCACTTATGCGGAAGAGTTTGGTATTTGCTAATCCAATAGTGTATACAGAATGAGACATTCTAATCAAAGTACACACAATCTAAAATGAGTAATGACCATAGATATAACACACTTCATTAACAAGTAATGGATATTCTTATCAATTCCAATATGCACCAAAGACTCCTCAAAATTTTAAGCTTTCAAAACCGTACTAGGAAAATCTTTTTGAATTTTTTTTTTTTTAATTATATGGAAAACAAGAAAGAAACGAACAACCACACACAAAAGACCCAAAAGAAAAATAAATAAAAACTTAAAAAAAAAAAAACAAAAAAACAAAAAACCAAATAAACATGTTAATCCAAGTCAAGCTTTCTCATCCAAACCATTTTAGTATGAGCAATGTTGTGAGAATTGCGGTTCTTGAGTGGTGTCTTGACGTTGTGATTCCCTTCCCCTTCAATGGAAATCGGTCTCGACTTGGTTTCCATCCTCCTCTTTCTAGGTCCTGGCAAATGCCCACTTACTTCATGTTTGGTCTCAAGCAAATCAAAACAATGAGGCCTAATGTGACCCTTAAGCCCATAATGATGACAAATAAGAATAAATTTATCCTTGGCTACACAGTTATGAGACAAATAAGAAGATAAAATGATATTACCCCTAACCATGAAATCTTGAATGGTTTCATCCTTGAAAATTGAGACTTTGGATTGTGAGATATGTCCTTTGATGACGTCAACTCCTCCTTTATCATTGGGCATGCATTGAGTACAAGGAGCCATATCCATACTTAGAGCACTTGAAGCTTTGACTCTTTCAAGTTCCAACTCTAAGGACATAATTTTTGCTTCAAGCTCTTTCTCGAATTTTGAACAAGTCTCAAACTCTCTTTTAAGATCACCATTCTTCTCTTTCAACTCATCATGAGCATGAAGCAATTGATTTCTCTCTATTTCACATGTGAAGAGTTTGGTGACCAAGGACTCCATTTCATTTGAGAGAATACTAACTTTTGCTTGAGCTTCTATGAGCTCTTACTTTAGCTTCTCTTTCCTTTCTCTGCTTAGCCTAAGCTTGCTGGACAATTTGATATTCATTTTTGTTAAGGTGAAACTCCTCTTATATAATATCTCATATGCTTCATGAAAAGTTACTCCATTTATTTCTTCTTCCGCACACTACAACAAAAAAAGGTTTTTACCGCACGCAATACATGCTATAAAAACCCTTCTACAACGTGCAGCGCGCGTCATATTATGACCAGTCATGGAAAGTCATTCACTTTCAACGACATGCTTTGCACGTCGTTAAAAACTATTCAACGGCAGATTTTGTGCGTCGTTATTACTTTTTCTACAACATGCTATAGTACGCCGTTAAAAACTATTTAAAGGTAAATTTTGTGCGTCGTTACTTTTTCTACGACTACTTTTACACGTCGTTAATTGGTGAGACAAATAACGACACTAATTGCGCGTCGTAAAATACGTAATACGACTTATTATGCCTACCGTAGAATATGCATTTTTTATTTTATTTTATTTTTAAATTCCGCAGGTTCTATTTGACCAATTTTGTACAATTTAACAAATATTACAAACAAGCATCACAAAACATCAATCAACCACCAAAATATTGTTTAAAACACCAAAAAGAAACTATATCAATAAATTATAAACATTTAACAATTGTTTATACATTCCAAACATTTGAAAACTGTATCCTTAAATTCTAAACTGTACAAAAAGTTTTAACCATCCAAAACTATGCATATCTAATTTTCTAAACATATTGACAACTATTAAGAGATTATCTAAAACTACCGACAATAGTTCCTATGGCAGTTGCAGTTGCAGCTGTAGCTGTAGCTGTAGCAAATCCACTTACTCCTATCACAGGGACGAAAGTGCCCATTGTATGTGTTAAGGCACCTAAACCAGCGGCAATAGCTGAAGCAACTAAACCCATCAAGCTTGTACCTGCACACTTTGACATTTGATTGCCGAAAAGATCTATATTAGTTTCTGAAAAGGTTGGTGAGCCATAGAATCTAAAAGGTCACTATTAATCATGTGGATGAGTTTGAAAAGGTGCAAATCTAGTCATTCTTGAACCAAGCTCCAGTAGTTCCGCACATTCTACAGCCTTAATAACAACACAGTCACATCATTAATAAACCTGTGATAAAGGGACAAAAAATTAAATTTTTTTTAAACATGATAGTTACAGTGGGGAGGGTCATGGTCAAGGAGAGGGCAATCCCCCATTGTGTGTAGCCCATCAAAATTCAACCAAAAAGAAAAAGAAAGATAACTCCATATCAGCAAATAACATTACATTTGTAAATTTTTCTACATATTGGATTTTTAACTGTAGAATTTCATGTGTGAACTAATCGATATAATCACAACAGTTATACAATGCAAGTAAAACTCATGGTATTGCTAATTGCATAAATGAATGACTAAAAAAAAATGAAAAGAAATAGAAAACACTTGCCTCCGACAAAAACCCATCAAGTGATAGCCCTCTCATAATCATAGACTGGGTGAACCGCACACACCTGAGAATCAAGTATCCAATGAGAAGAAAGGTGAAATCCCATTCATTTCAAGAAGATGCCAAGTGAAACAAATTTAACAAATATATGTAGCATAGTATAGCAATTACCAAGAGATTACATTCATCCATTAGGGATTCCTAAAGAATTACATCCAATACTTTTAAACAAGCTGTTCAGATTTCTCGCAAATTGAATCACAAAACATTTTGAAATAACTAGTTTGAATTCTCTAAACCAAAAATCAAAATTTATACAGATCAATACTCCAACTTAACATGCCATGCTATCTTATTTCCATCAACTATGTCTAGTAAAATTCAAAAAAGCCTATTGCAGTTGATTTCTATCATTATGGTGTGAGCTTGATTGCCATATATCTATCTAGGAATTCCTTGTGTAATGTGTGACATTATTGTCATCTTTGTTTGGAACCTATCTCTGTCACCTTATCTATAACAAAAAGATGCACAAGAGAAATCACATTTGGCATCGTAAAAACCCTTTTTTGTTATGCAATTTAAATGTATAGACTAATTATAAAAGAAATGCAAGTCTAATACCAAGTAGCGGTATAATGATCATTGGCTACATCTCCATTTGCTCCATTTCTTTGGCCAGCTAAATGAAATAAACAAACAGTCAGTCAAAAACCAATCCTATTACAGTTGCTGAAGAAAGTGCTCAAACCCACCTTCATGTCCCACAAATCAGTTCTTGGACTTTTGCCTCAAAGTCATAATTTGTATTTCGGTTCCATTGCCTCCTAAAAATTAACTATGTCAATTTGGAGGCTCACAATAAATTTTGGCAAGTGAGTAAAATCCAAGTTGTTATGTAAGCAAATCAAGCTAGTTCAAATAAAGGTTTTCAATGGTTTTCTTATCCGTTGATGACTGGTTTCAATTGTTGAATTAATGCATTGTAGATCTGAAGACACAAGATCTATGTTGCCTACTAAAACATAACCTACACTTATGGAAGCGTCCTCACTATAAGAGATAAATGGTACCAAAAAAAGAACTAAGAGTTTGAATACCCAAACCCGAACCACTTGCACATCCACCACCTCACACCCAAATAACACACTTTCTCACCCAAACTTTTGGCTGGACGCTTGCACCTTATGCAGCACTTGCTTTCACTCTCATGTACCCATGCATTCAACCATTCCTTTGAGCTTCTCACATTCATAGAAACACCCCCCTTATATGGACATAGCAAAGATAGGTGAAAGGTCAAGATACAATAAAAAACTCTGTGCAATGAATATTAATTACCGGAAAGTTGAGAATGGTTTATGGACCCCAATATTTCAATGCTGCCAAATCATAAGCATGAGCAGCATCTTTTTTTCATCATCATAGGCACCTGAATTACCAACACCAAAAATAAAATAAAAACCACTAAGTGACCATATTCCTAGAAATAATTACCAAAAAAAAGAACTATATTAATTGGAACATACCAAGATAGACTCCATCATATCATTAGGATTCCACAAAACCAGAACCACCAATGCAATAAGCAGAAAGAAATCAATAAAATTGCTATAAAGATATGTTTATGAAGAAATATATATATATATATAAATACATAATATGAGGAGAGAAGTGATATTGAACCTTGTCTTCCTTTCTTGTTTTGTGATTCATTCCAGTAATTCTTGTCCCACAAATGAGCTTCATACCTTCATGTCCGTCGATGCCTTAAGCAATCACAATAACATCCATTCAAGGGTGTTAAACATATCCTCTATTTCTTTATAGTTTTTCAGCCATTTGAGGGTGTTGGTGAATGATTGATGAAGTAGTTCGTATATGCAAATGTGAACAACATGACTTAACTAAGCCGTACAAGTAAAAATGATGGCAAATTGGTGAATTTTGTGACGACCTGCATTAACTGCTGAATGTATACAAGGAAAGTGCAACAGCTGACGACCTAAAAAATGGTACATGGTCATAAATTAATATTTATCAGGTTGCAAAGATCATTTTGCCATTTAGCACATAAACTCATCATTAATTCATCTTGTCATAAGCGACAGATTGATTATAGCTACCGATAACAAGTGTAATAGGACAAATATATTGAAATATGAAATTTCAAATGGGCATGAAATAGGAAAAATGGACAAATATAATGTGTGTGTGTGTGTGTGTGTGTATTTCTTCACCTCCAAAGCCATGTCTTCTTTGGTTACAGTATCCAAGTCATCATAACCTAACTGGGAAGCCACCTCTGCAAAGAACAAAAGGTTGCTACAACAAGTGGGAAATAATAATCTAACATAGCATGAACTATAGAAAAATCATTGGGCATACTATGAAAAGAAACAGTCGTATCCGTAGAAGCATATCCACCTTTCAGCTCTTCCTACAAAACAGCAAGCTAAGTGAGTATCCATACAACACATTTACTTACGTTAACACTATTAATCAGGAGCACTCAACAATCGCAAATACTCTGGATGTCTATCAGGTTAAATAATGGAAATTCTTTTACAAAGAAAGAAGTGAGCTAATTAGAAGTTTGAGTGGGAAAAAATGACCTCAGAATAAGAACCAGAACTAAATATTTCTGATTCAGAAAGTTGACTCCTATTTTCTACAGCATCCCTGGCTATCATGTCTAGAGGGACATCAATCCATATAGAAAGCCTGTGTCTTAATAATGCCCTATAAATGTTAATTGGATAATCGAGTTGAAAACAAAACTTGATGTTTGAACACAACAGAATAGACTAGTACTATAAAACATGACAAGTAGAGAAACAGAGGAATCAATAGACATACAAATTAGTTATGCTCTGAACTGCACCATTTCTAGCACAAACAACCAGGCGACCCATGGATGATAATTGCTTCAATACTTCAGTCTGATAAAAGATTCACCGTAAAATTTAGCCAGTTTAGATTTGAGCAACTAAAGTAGATTGCGTAATTGGATTTATTGAATTTTTTATGATTAATTATTCAGTTTTGGTCACAGGATGCCTCAATTGCAAGATAGGCATTTGCCCATTTATTGCACAATCCCCTTTTGAACAATAAACCTAAAGAAAGAACAAACTAAAAATCTCAAACCCTTAAAACAAAGCATTAAAGAAATGTCTGCAAAAGTTACCTCCAATTCAGAAAATCCTTCCTTATCTCTCTCTCTCTAAAAGATTTGCCAACAGATCCACCACCTACAGCTTCTTCGACCAAATTATCATTGCACACCAAGTAAACCAAAAAATTAACTCAGCTACCATATTTCAAGCTGAAAAAGCTTCTCCTAATTTTGCGATAGGATTAACTAAGTGACCATATAGTTGCCGTGAATTTCATTTTGCATACATCCAGAACCATCACAGTTGGCAATATCATAAAAGGAACAAGAACCATCATTGTGAGCAAGAAGGACAACTTCACCCTCAGATACAAACCATCCTCCAGTTGAGGTCTTACAACCAATTTCATCGAACTGATAAATGAAACTATCCCTGGTTACCTCTCTGACTCCATCCCCATCCAATCTCTTTTAACACATAAACACCAAACAGAAATATGCACAAAACGAGGGCGGGAGAGTGGAGCTCTTAAAGTAATCTCATTGTGCCAACACATTTTTTTTTTTTTTTTTTTGAGTCAGGCATTTTTTCAAACAGTTAGAGGACCCTTAATAATATTAGATAACATTTATAAACTAACATCTATTACATATGTACAAATATACATAGCATGTATATATTGATGAGAAATAAATATATAAGAGAGGATCATGACAGACCTGATATCATTGGACGGTGCTAACCCCAAACTAAAAAAATTCCTATGTACTCATTCTAGACACACAGAGGAGAATCAACCCAACACACTGGCATATATAGCAAAAAAATTCCTATATATTCATTCTAGACACACAAGAGAAAAGAGATTATGAGGAAGTAAGAGAGCGATAAAAGATATAAAATCCCACCTATGCTTAGTCCAGTGTTCACTTCATGCTTGAAAAAATGACCTAGAAAAAAGGAAAACTATGCCTGGATGTCGGAGGGAGATTTAGAGACGCTGATGTTGTCACCAATGGGGAGTTACCGCCACTGCTAGAGAGTGAGAAAATGAAGAGATCTGTAGACACCAATCTACGAGAGAGAGAGATTGTGAGCATCTGCGAGAGCAAGAGAAGAGAATGAGAGGACATGAGAGAAGGAGGAGGGTTACCTAGACACACTGGTGTTGTCGCCACTACGAGAGAGAGAGAGAGAGAGAGAGAGAGAGAGAGAGAGACTAGGGTTAGTTTAGGCGTGAGAATGAATTTTAGGGATTTAAGCTTTTGGGATGGTTTGAAAGTTTTCGTATTTGGCGCGAGATTTTATTCTTTTTATTTTGGCGCTATTTTTTTTTTCTTCTGATCATACCTTTCACGACAGTAATTGCATGTTGTGAAAAGTATAATATTTTAAACGGCTGGCTTTCTGTGCGTCGTGGAAAGTGAAATTTTTAACGACTAGTTTTTCGTTCGCCGTGAAATGTTCAATATTTTTAACAGCTAGTATATGTGTGTTGTGTATAGTTGATGTACTAACGGCATGCCATATGCACGTCATAAAAAGTTTTATTATTTACGGCTAACATTGCAAGCCGTAAAAAAATCATCGTTATTAGCATTTATAACCTACACAATAGACACGTCGTGGTTAAGAAATTATTTACGACATGCAAAAAAAGTAAGTCGTAAAAGTGAGAAACAACGGCTTACATTTACTGTATGTCGTTGATGTGAAACCGTAAAAACTCAGTTTTGTTGTAGTGGTACTAGATGACTCACTATCACCATTTGAGGACCCTAAAATGATGCTTTTATTCTCACTCTTGTCCAAAGATGAATTTTCATCGGAAGACTCAATGTTTGATGCATGTGGAATGGAGGTACAATGAGATTCACCATCAGAACTTGCATTCTCATAGAAGACATCAACAAATCCCATGCTTCTTTGGCCGTCTCACAATGAGAAATATGAGTTCGCTCACTTTCCAAGATAACACCTTTGTATTACCTCTAATGCTCTTGAGTTGTATCCAAAGTGTCGCAACTCAAGGTTACTCCAGTTTGTTGCTAAGTCAAGTTCATGTGACAACTCGAACCCTTTTTCTATGATCGTCCACAGGCTTGCATTGAATGTCAATAAGTACACCCTCATTTGAGCACTCCAGTACAGGTATTCATATCCGTCAAAGTAAGGAAGGATGGAAACATTCTGGCCATGTGCATATTCCATTTGTCCCTCGACTACAAAAACTGCCATAAAGGCAAGAAATTGCCCATTCCCATCTTTACCTTGAACATCATTGTCACTCTCATTCTTATAAAAATCTTTCCAATCATCCCAAGTGACAAAAAATCCTTTCTTCTTCCTCAACCAATTAGGGCATTCTTGAGATCCAAAGCCTTGACATTCATAGCATTGGACTCTTTGGTCATGTTTGTTTGGGAGATTAGAGGATGGGATTGGAAAAGTAAGGAGGTGGGTCCCACTATAACTTGTTTGGTGGCTTCCTTGTGGAGAGGGATTGCTACTCCAAGCGGCTTGCTAATCCCCCTCAGTAAGGGGATTAGCTTGGGTGAATTTTGGGTGGGATTAGAAAAATAGTGAGGGGATAGAATCTATTTTATATAAAAAATTTATTTTTTATTTTTATTTTTTTTACCAAGTGCACCTATTTGTTAACATTTGTTTTAGTATTTTTTTAAAATATAGAAATAATTTATTTATTTATTTTATATAAAAACAATTTAACAATCTAATCACTAACCATCTCTCACACTATCATCAAAACAAACACACATTTACTTAATCCCCTCACTAACAATCCCCACATTAACAATCTCTTCACTAACAATCATTTCACTAACAGTCACATCTAACCTAATCCGCCAAACAAGCGTGGCCTTTGAGGATTCCCTTGCATTTTTCTTTCTTCTTCTTGATTGTAGAATCAATTTTGAACTTATCTTTGCCTTTGGATTTATGAGTTGATTCCATAAGATTAGCCTTCTTTTTCAAAAAAGATTTTTTGAAACGTTTTATAAAGGCATACATCATCTCGAAATCAAACTTACAATCCTCATCGGAATCTTTTCCAACACTATGAGTACTATTAAAAGCCAAAAAATCTTTTTCTTTCTTTTTGAAATTCAAATGAGTCTCATAAGTTTAGAGATTTTCAACCAAATGATCCAGGTTGAGATTGTCAATATCTTGAGCCTTCTCAATGGCCGTAACTTTTGGTTAGAACCAACTGGAAAAGATATCAAAAATTTTCCAACAACCTTAGATTCCGGTATTTTTTCGCCTAAATTGAAACTAAATTCACAATGTCACTCAACTTCGCATAAAATTCATCAGAGGTCTCATTACTTTTCATGAAAAGGTTTTCAAAATTAGAAGTGAGCCTTTAAAGTTTTGAGCGTTTAACCGAAGGAATACCCTTATGAATAGTTTCTAAGATATCCCATGCCTCTTTTGCGACTTCACAATTACAAATGTAACTAAACTCTTCTGGTGTGATGGCGTAAAATAAGGAATTGATAACTTTACTAGTCCAACTACTATCTTGACAATCGATTGTGTCCCATTTGTCAATTGGTTTTGGGAACGTTACTCTATCAACGGTAATCGTAGGTTCGGTCCAGCCAGACATGACTGATTGCCAAATTTTTTCATCAATAGCTTTTAAAAATACTCTCATCCGAGTTTTCCAAAAAGAATAATTGGATCCGTCAAGTTGGGATGGTCAAATCGTAGAATTTCCATCGCGAATTGAATCCATTATCACAAATCAAATAAGATCTCGCTCCTATAGTTTTGTAAAATAAAGATTGAGCGACCTGCTCTGATACCAATTGAAAAATCTAAAAACCCTTCAGATATTGATTTGTGATTATTTATAAATTTAAACAATGAATATCAATCCCAATCAAATAATCAACCACAAATTGGTACGACAATTTAACTTGGAAAAAATCACAATTAAAACACTTCTAATTGTGATAAAAAAAATCACGAGCCAAAGCTAAAAAATAATCCACTAAAAAGATAAAGAGGAATTACATGAGTACCCTCAATTACCTAGGGAATTCACGCCCGAATTGAACCAAACCCGATGTACCTCTTCACTACGAAGTTGCTTTGCCCAATGTTGAATCCACAACGCCGATGTCGAATCCACGATGATGACCCACTCCAAAATCCACCAAAGCTTCAGGCACAAGTTTCCCGGAATCCACCGCTGAACACATCTCTCTTTATGTGAATAAAAGAACAAAATTAACCATTGATGTTTGACACTCTGTATTTCGTTGATAAATTGATCACCTTTTATACATCAAGGAAACTCATATAAAAACACCATCCAATGTAGAACACTTTGTATTTGTATCCTCTTTGAGAATCTAGTCGGGTTGAATCCTAAAAATAGCAAACGGCGCACTTTATAGCAAAAAGAGCCTCGACAATTCACCGTTCGAGCGGTGTAAGTAAAGGCGGTGCAAAATTTATAGGCCAACCGCTCGAGCGATAAAACGAGTTTTCCAAAAGTTCTGAATGCAAGTTGAAATTTAGGTCGATCCCCATACGTATAGGTCGATCCCCATACGTAAACAGCAAAGTGGCAAATAAAGAATGCTCAAGATACGGAATATCAACACAAACTCCTCTACACAAACACAATTCGGATTAGATTCACATCTAAACACTCACAGTCTCACCAAAATAAAAGAGCGAATAAAATTACAACTAAAATGAGTTTTGTCAAACGTGATTACCAATTACAAAAACCTAATAGTGATAAGGAGTTTGTTCATAACACTGTGTTTAGTTGAAAGATTTTGGGAGAGATTTGGAAAAGAAAAGGGAAAAGAACTGTAAAATGTAACCTACATTTGATTTAGTTTCACACATTTTTTTCTTTTCCAAATTTCTTCTAAAATCCTTAAACCAAGCACAGCCTAAGTGTTTGATTTTTAAGCCAGACAGTAATTAACATGAAGTATTACACATTTCTATGAATGGATTTAGAAAAATTATTTTAGGGTCTCAAGTTTACACAAAGTTACTATTCCTAGGCAATGTTTGATTCGCAAGACTAATAGTAAATGCATTAATAATCACATCAAATTAGTATGGTATTCATTATCCAATTGAATTAGTAGGATAAATTATCCCCTTATCCATTGTTTGATTTGCATTGGATTAGTAAGTAAAAGAGTCTTTTTATTTTATTTCTCAACTTAGGATATATAATCTCACCCCCACCCCATTACTAATAATCCTAGAAATTTGTTGAATTAATTATCTATTGGATTAATAATCTTGAAAAAAAAATTTATAACAAATATAAGATTATTAGACTCATAGATTAATAATTTTAATCCAATACTCTAATCATGTCAATCAAACATGCCCTTAAAGTTAAATCCACAACTTCCAAGTTTATGACAGTTTCTAAAACAATAATCCCTTGGCAAAATTGTGCAAATTTTGAATTGAATATTTGAGAAAGGTTATTTCAAAATAGGTTTACTTGAGCGTTGATTATAAGATTTTCAAAGTTGATATATCTATACTATTATAAAGTGAACACCTCTTATCTATCTATCTATCTATACTATTATAAAGTGAACACATAATATGGTGTCCTGAAGCTTGCTTCACTCTCCTCATGCCATGTGGCATATCTATCTATACTATTATAAAGTGAACACATAATATGGTGTCCTGAAGCTTGCTTCACTCTCCTCATGCCATGTGGCAGTGTTTTTTATTTTTTTAAAAAAAGTTAAACAAAGAGATGGGCAAGGCTTGAACCCATGACCATGGGTTTAAGTATGAGCACTCATACCACTTAAGCTAAGTACACATTATAATATTAATTTCATTATTATTTTCTTTTATTCCTATTTATTTAATTTGCACACACATCGTGTGTGCCCAACCGCTAGTGGTATTATAAAGTGAACACCTCTTATGGTGTCCTGAAGCTTTACTCTCCTCATGCCATGTGGCAGTATTTTTTATTTTTTAAAAAAAAGTTAAACAAAGAGATGGGCAAGGCTTGAACCCATGACGATGGGTTTAAGTACGAGGACTCATACCACTTAAGTTAAGTACACATTATAATATTAATTTTATTATTATTATTTTTTATTCTTACTTATTTAAATTACACATACATCGTGTGTGCCACCCACTAATATATCTATATATATAAAATTGGCATGTTAAGTCAATTATTTGAGTGGACTGATGATTTTAAATCGCACACAACCAGGAGTCATACAAACTCCAACCCAACTTGCCGATAGCTACTGATTTACACATACCCATTACATTCTATATATATCTTTTTTAATAAATAATTAGTTCAAAAGTAGTATTTTGAAAATAAACAATTGTTTCGGAAGTAGCATTTTGAAAATAAACAACTTGTTCGGAAGTAGAATTCTAATTTTTTTTTTATTTTTTCGATATTCAACTTCCGAATGTGTTTATTTGATGTCCATAATAGTACTTTTACTTGAAAATAAAATTATAATAAAAATAATTATTATTAAGTGTGTGTGCAAAGGGGAATAGAGATGTGTAAATAGAAGCTCCCCAACTAGCCAATACTTTAGTTCAAAAAGAAAAGAACTTTCCAATACGGTCCAACCGTGGGTGGCGATAGGAGTCAATGGGGTGTTTGTGTGGGGTTTTTTGAGCCAACTTATAACTTTAATTTTAGAAAAATTATTTTGAATTATTTGGTTAAACTTGTTTCAAACAGTTTCTGATTCTAACAATTTATTTTAACTCAAAAAAATTGATTCTGAGAAGCTGCTTACCTCTTATTTCTTAATATCAGTTTCTGCTGTGGACATGTTAATTTACAGTTATACTCTTAGATTTTTTTTTTTAAAAAATAAAAAATAAAAAAAGACCCAAATAGACTATAGATTATTATTATTATTTTTATAAGAAATGTAGACAAGTAATGAATAACAAAAAATAAAAATTAATTGAAAAGTCTACTTCACAACTTATTTAACAAACATTACTCAACAATTTAAATCTATAATTCAAACAGGTATACCAAGCAAATTAACAGTTTCTAATTAAAATCATAATCTATAATCTGTTAAGTTATAATATATAATATATTTTAACAATTACACCAAACAGGGTCAATGTGGTTGGGTGAATTGGGCGGGTAGAAAAGCAGGTTTTTTTTTTGTTTCTAACACTTTTAGTTACAAAATTAACATAAAAGAAGAACACTAAATTAGAAAGACAAAAGTTAGTTAAAATAACCTAAATGATAAATTTTGTTTTTAATTTACACTAAAAATTCAAGAATTTTGAATTTTTTTTTTTTATAAAAAAAATGAAAAAATATCCATAGGACTAGGCCTGGGCTCTAAGGTCCAGCAGGTTAGGATTGGGCCTAGTTTTAAAAAAATGGGCAGGCCCTGATGGGTCTTGTTAGCCTTCCCGCCAAATCGATGTTGAGGTAATTCAAAATTTCACATCCATTTGCATATTCCAAATTCTCTGAATTTCTAAAACCCTAAACAAATCCAGAGAGAGAGAGAGAGAGAGATGGATGTTGAACAAGCAGGTTCTTCTCTCGATTCGTTGATATCCTCATTCAACACGCGCGTAGCAGAGCTTCAAGAACTTGTCATTGCTCGTAACAGTAAATTCCTCAATCCAAAAAAGCTTCACAATCTCTAATTCATCTTCTTCGAATTTCCATTAAAAAAACTTCAATTCTTTTTCTATTGTTTTTTTCAGTGTACCCAGCAAGCAGCGTCACTGATTTATCGGCGGTCGACACGGCATTGAAGGCCATGGAGCTTCAGGTCCAGCATATCAAAGATCGCTTGCGTGAAGAGACAGAAGCCATCCCCAAAGCCAAAGTAATTCATCTTCATTTCCCTCCTCCTCTCACCCTCTTCTGTATTTGATTAGGGTTCTTTTATTTGTGATTTTTTGATTTATTTTGTTTATAATTCAGCCATTACAATCAAATGTGGAGCCTTAAGTTCGAGAATTGGGTGTAAATTCTTAGAATCTGCTCAATGCTTCTGGAATTGGAGTATCTTTGTAGATCCTAAGTACAAGGAAAAATTCGTTAATTGTGATTTTGGTCATAATTACCTGATTAATTAATTGGAAAAATGCCAAAAAAATCATTAATATATCAGGCCCGACTTGAATGTGTCACAACCTATTTGGTGCAGCTGATGGGGCAATTTTTTTTTTGAAAGTATTTATTATAGTGTTTGGTGCCGCTTCTGCTTTCAAATTATAGGCGCTGTTTGTTTTCCTCCATAGTTTATGGGATTGGATTACAAATCCCATAGGCCTCACAAGAATCATGTTTGATTGGGAAAATGGTAACAGTCCCATGGGATTAAAAATACTGTCTAGTAGGGTAACAGCAATTCTATGGATGAGGTGGTATTCAAATCCAATCTCATGGGATTGAAGGTGAAATGATGGTTTTGTCCCTCATTTTATAAAAACAACAAAGTCACCTTCTACACGATGAGAATTTTTACATAATTTTATATATTTAATCCTATCTAACTAATACTATAATACTACTACACAAACAAACACAATTTATTTTACATTTCTAACTTAATACCACTACACTAGTAATCTTCTCATTCAATCTCGCTGTACTAATGATCTTATCCAACCAAGTTCAGTAAACAAAAGGGGCAAGGTAGAAATAGCTTCAATAAGCTAAACAAAGTTCATTATTGAGACGCAAGGACAGAGGTACTTTTCGCTTCTGTTTTTCAATAACTTGCAAGAAGCTGGACCAAACAAGCCCTTAGTTTGGTTTAGTTTAATTAGTTGGAAAAAAATAGAAATTGAAAATTTTGTGTTGTCATTAATGGATGTGTAAAAATTTATGTATTATTGATTGATGTTTATTGATTTTTATTACAATGATTCATGATTCCTATATATAGAAGAGGGTGAGTGTGTAGTAGGTAAGGAGTAGGTGAAGTGGAGGTGGTAGTGGTGTAGTGGGTTAGGTTTAGTGGAGTAGGTGAGATGGTAGTGGTGTAGTGGGTTAGGTTTAGTGGAGTAGGTGAGATGGTAGTGGTGTAGTGGGTTAGGTTTAGTGGAGTAGGTGAGATGGTAGTGGTGTAGTGGGTTAGGTTTAGTGGAGTAGGTGAGATGGTAGTGGTGTAGTGGGTTAGGTTTAGTGGAGTAGGTGAGATGGTAGTGGTGTAGTGGGTTAGGTTTAGTGGAGTAGGTGAGATGGTAGTGGTGTAGTGGGTTAGGTTTAGTGGAGTAGGTGAGATGGTAGTGGTGTAGTGGGTTAGGTTTAGTGGAGTAGGTGAGATGGTAGTGGTGTAGTGGGTTAGGTTTAGTGGAGTAGGTGAGATGGTAGTGGTGTAGTGGGTTAGGTTTAGTGGAGTAGGTGAGATGGTAGTGGTGTAGTGGGTTAGGTTTAGTGGAGTAGGTGAGATGGTAGTGGTGTAGTGGGTTAGGTTTAGTGGAGTAGGTGAGATGGTAGTGGTGTAGTGGGTTAGGTTTAGTGGAGTAGGTGAGATGGTAGTGGTGTAGTGGGTTAGGTTTAGTGGAGTAGGTGAGATGGTAGTGGTGTAGTGGGTTAGGTTTAGTGGAGTAGGTGAGATGGTAGTGGTGTAGTGGGTTAGGTTTAGTGGAGTAGGTGAGATGGTAGTGGTGTAGTGGGTTAGGTTTAGTGGAGTAGGTGAGATGGTAGTGGTGTAGTGGGTTAGGTTTAGTGGAGTAGGTGAGATGGTAGTGGTGTAGTGGGTTAGGTTTAGTGGAGTAGGTGAGATGGTAGTGGTGTAGTGGGTTAGGTTTAGTGGAGTAGGTGATTTTTTTTTTGAAAGTATTTATTATAGTGTTTGGTGCCGCTTTTGCTTTCAAATTATAGGCGCTGTTTGTTTTCCTCCATAGTTTATGGGATTGGATTACAAATCCCATTGGCCTCGCGAGAATCATGTTTGATTGGGAAAATGGTAACAGTCCCATGGATTAAAAATACTGTCTAGTAGGGTAACAGCAATTCTATGGATGAGGTGGTATTCAAATCCAATCTCATGGGATTGAATTGAAGGTGAAATGATGGTTTTGTCCCTCATTTTATAAAAACAACAAAGTCACCTTCTACACGATGAGAATTTTTACATAATTTTATATATTTAATCCTAACTAACTAATACTATAATATTACTATATAAACAAACACAATTTATTTACATTTCTAACTAATACCACTACACTATTAATCTTCTAATTCAATCTCACTGTACTAATGATCTTATCCAATCAAGTTCAGGAAACAAAAGGGGCAAGGTAGAAATAGCTTCAATAAACTAAACAAAGTTCATTATTGAGACGCAACGACAGAGGTGCTTTTCGCTTCTGTTTTTCAATAACTTGCAAGAAGTTAGACCAAACAAGCCCTTAGTTTGGTTTAGTTTAATTAGTTGGAAGAAAATAGAAATTGAAAATTTTGTGTTGTCATTAATGGATGGTAGTTTTGTTTGGTTGGAAAAAATTGTGTATGAGCCAAGAAGTTTGATGTTCAGTTCATTAAGTTTAAATCGTAATTCAGATTGAGGTGAGGGCTCTTTGTTCTTACTGCAGAAACTCATTGAGGCGTCACTGCGGCAGCAAAAGAAATTGCAGAGCATGTCTGTTTATGTTCCTTCCCATATGCCTGAAAGAATGACTCTTATAAATCAGGAATCCAGTAAATGGTAATTCTTTTTGTGTTCTTTATATTGATGTCTGGTTGGTCCTCTTTTCATTCTTATTTTATGGGTTTCAGTCTGCTGCCAGAAACATCAAAACAAGAAATTGGTATCCGGTCATTGAATTTTGAGGAGCCTGCAATATTACCCAAAGTAAGAATCTCTCTCTCTCTCTCAGTCAGAGACACACACGAACACATTGTTACCCAGAGAAAATGGATGCATCACCTGAAAGCAGTAAAAGATTTAGAGGTGAATAGAGGTCTGCAATTTTGCATACCAAAATCAAGTGGAATCCATATAACTGGATTATCAATCACATTGTGCCAAGCCCAATTACATGTTACCAAAATTTATGATATCAAAAAAATGGGGACACGTAGAGACATGACAATAAATTGTTATATATATATTTACCACGTAGATTAATATTACATTCATAAACAATCAAAATTAACAAAAATACTACTAATTTAATATATTAAAAAAAAATCACTCTTAAACTAACTCTTATTGTTTATATCTTATTTAAAGACGATCTATTAATTATTTCAATCTAAGTAAAACGTAACTAACAATCAACATCCATCACATGCACTAAAGAAGAGAAAAGGAAGAAAAAAAAAACTAGTTGGCCTGTCCTTGGTGTGTCTCCAGTGTGTCCCTAGAAAACAAATTAATTAAATAATGCGACACGCCACAGACGTGTCCTTTGTGTGCCCTCGTGTCCGACATGATTTATGTGGAAACCCTTGAAGAAAAATATTCCCAAGATAATGCCTTCAGCGTGTTGCTGGTCAAAACAATCCACTATGATCAAGAGTCAATACATAAGTAACTTAGAACCCTAATCCTGATGCACTTATGACTTAAAGCCTTGAACCCACAAACATGCCTATTTTGTCTCTACATTGTGGCTGTCTTAGACCTCCATCAACATTCTCGTGTCCAAGATTTTAAGTAACCATTAGCTGCAGTAACGATAGCAGTATCAGTGACAATTTCAGGGTGTTATTGGTGCAGATTAATGGTTAGGTCAATTGGAATGTTAATTTTCTTTTTCTTTGCACAACTGCGCGCGCGCACACACCAAAAAAAAAAACCTTATTGACACACTTGTTTGTTTGTTTTCAAGTCTGAATGTGGGTTCAATTTTGAGGGTAGGCACTTTTTGCATGTCATGCCAAAGGTTAAATCTATAGCTAGTACATCCCTCCCAGCACCCCAATCATGGGGACCAGTACTGGGGAACGGCCTTCAGTGAGGTAACATCAAGCCAGTATTCATGAAGTAATTGATCTGGCATATTAGTGGTCTGAAATTGTGAGATAGGGTTACTGTAGGCAATAATCAGGAGGACTTTGGTATGAAAAGGAGAATATTGAACCATGTTCTTTATTTAGCTTGGAAAGTAGGTAAGGAGTAAAAAATGGGCATGTGGTTTCTGGAGAATTTTGAAATATGTGATGCCAATATATTTAGAGCAAGGAAATTCCAGGTTTCTTTTTTCTATTGATTGTCATCACTAATTCCAGGAGAAAAAGGGTCGTGCCCCCCCACCATTGTGCTACGTCACTTCTGAAGAGCTGGATTCCTTATCATCGTAAGTGCGTTCTATTTTGAAGTGTCTCATGTACTCTTTCCTCATTTATTACCAATAGGTTACCGTTATCTTTATAATTCTGTCACTAAGCTTCCCTTTACCTCAGTATTTTTTTTCAGTCCTTTTTCCGAATTTTCTTAATTGTTAGTTTTGAGTCCCGCCAACTGCAGATACATGAGAGGAAGGCTCACTCTAGACAAGATCAATGCAGCTATTAATGACATGTCAACTTATGCCGAAGCAAATGCTCAACTTATCACAGCCCCAAGAAAGAAGGTTTCTGTCCATTTCTCTTTTTTTCCCCCCCTTTATTTTGGTTCAGTTGTAACTAATCTTTTCAATTGTCCTGATCATGATTTTTTTTTTTTTTTTTTTTGAAGTTGACAGAAAATATGTTGGACAGAGCTCTGGTAAGTAAATTTAATCCGCTGCCCACCGGTTAAGGTTTCTTATACTATTTGTTCCATTGGAGGATTTGTACTTATCTTGAGATAGCGGTTGTTGTCCGGGTTCCAATACCATGGTCATGCCATTGAAAAGTATTTGAAAGGTGCTGAAAATTTGACAATGTTTGTGGCACACAGAACAAAGATCCAAATTTGTGTTGCCATTTGTGGATTGTTGGGACTCCTTCATGTTCTTAATTATGTAAATCCCAATGTTCATCCATGCACATAATTTTCATTATTGCCATAAAATTTGCAGGAATTACGAGAGATCGCCACTACAGAAGGAGTGAAGGGCAAACACTTTTTCCTAGAAACTGACATGAAAGGGCCTTCAATGAAGCTTGACAACACTGGAAAAGCAATACTAACTGTGAGTGTTGCTCTATTTGCAAATCAGTGTTTGGATTGCAAAATGAGAAATATATAATTATTTGTGGCTTTACCTAAGTAATTATATCTACTTCATATGTAAACGACCTACAACTAAGTATTTTACATATTAATCAAAAAAATGGAAAAAACATTTTGATATTTGCTTTCCTTGGTATAGGGAGAGAAATAGATCTAGGAAATAGTCCTAGAAAACTCGCACTACTGTTGACATTTTTAGTGTTAAGCATTTGGATTGGCAAGAAATGCATATTGTGAATGGTAATGAGTGAGGTTGCCGGATAGGACGCTCTGGGAAGATGGCAGACACTAAGATGGAGAGGAACTACTAGAGAGATTGTGAAAGTTCAGTGCTACACACACATTGGAAAACTGGATCAAATTGACCTTGGCACAGTTTATAAATGGAATATATGTTTTTCATATCTGTTAACGTAAGTTCAATAAAGTAATTAGGACTTCATACTGGCAATATTCAATGCTTTACAGGTCCTTCGTCACCTTGGTAGGATAAGCGAGACACGGATTGGGCATCACCGTGTGATCATTCTTTTAAAGCCTCAATGAACGGCCATGCTTCCACAAATATTATACAAGTGAATGTCTGCTTTCTTTCTGTTTTCTAATTTTGTTTCTTTTTCCAGAAACTGTTAGCTATGACTTTACATAAGGGAATGTAACCTGAACTAGTTAAAGTGCAGAAAAGCCATGTATGTGGAAGCTCCCTTTGAAGTTGAACACAATAAAATTGTATTAACTTTTTGGAAGACATAAGAGAAATGTATGCTTCCTTTGGGATGTAAGTTGGCTTTTTGACTTTTTAATTATTTTAGCTTGGAGTTAAGTCTCGTTTATGAGGTACTTTCTGAGTTTTTTGACTTTTATGAAAAAAAATATATATATATTATGGTTTGAATATGATATTATATTTTATTAATTTCTTAACTTATTTTGTCTTTTTGGGACTGTTTTAGCCTTTTAGTCCCAAAATTTCACATGCCGAAGGAGGGCATATGATTAAGACCTCTGTTTCATATATGCAGTACAAATGAGATTTTATATTCTTCATTTCTTTAATGGTGTCTAGTTAAGATATCATTATTTCAAATTAAAGTTACACCTTTGTCCTTTCTGATGACATTTTACATCATACAATTACTTACAGAGACTTTTAAGTCCCGCTGATTCATCTAATAGTTCTAGTAGCTTAAAAAGGTACAGTAGTCTAAGTGCTGTGGTTCTTCATAGATGAAAACTGTTACCATTGTAGAAGACCACAGCAGGGGAAATAAAAAAAAAATTGGCCATTATCTTCCCTGAAGATAGGAATTATGAACACTTATAAAGAGGTTCTTCCTATGTGTTAGAATAAATATATAGAGAAAGAGAGAGAGAATCAATTATGTATATATTGATGTATTGAATGTTATTTTACAAGGAGCAGATCACTCTCTTTTATAGAGAGGAAAGTGTGGTACATAGGATGCTAACACCGAAAGCAGAAAGTATACAACATTATTAGTATGACAGCTATATATTACACTAACACTATAATACACTAACAGCCCCCCTCAAACTCAAGGAAGATAGGTATTAACCAATTTGAGTTTGGAGAGAGTAACAAAACAGGAAAGTAAACTGATAAATAAAATAAAATAGGATAGGAGACACTATATGGTTGTGTTAAATTGTTGTTGAAGACACGGTATGGTCGTGTCACACCGTTGAGAAGACACTGTATGGTCGTGTCGGACCGTTAATGTTTGGACAGTTTACGAGGTCATGCCGGACCGATGTAGAAGCTAACCGAAATCAATGTCGAGACAGTTTACGGAGTCATGCCGAACCGATGTAGATGCTAATCGGAATCAATGTCAGGACAGTTTACGAGGTCATGCCAGATCGATGTAGAAACTAACCGGAATCAATGTCGAGACAGTTTACGTGGTCATGCCGGACCGATGTAGAAGCTAACCGGAATCAATGTCGGGACAGTTTACGGGGTCATGCCGGACCGTTGTAGAAGCTTTGGTGGTGCACCAAGGGGGCGACTTAGGGAGTGCGCCATGGGGTGGCTTGGGTGATTCCCATGGTGTATAACCATGCTCACCAGCTTGGGTGGTTCGCATGGTGTGTAACCATGCTCACCATGATATATGTAGAATATCTCCCCTCAAACTCAAATAGGTTTGAAGATAGAAACCTATTGGAGGTTGAAACAAAGGGATTGATAAAGTGGAGCGGAACGACTCAACACAGAGTGGAGATGTTAAAAAAAAAAATTAAAAAAAAAAAGGAAGAAAGGTTGTTTTTTTTTTTTTTGTGGGGGAATAAAAAAAAATAAGAATAATAAGATAATGGGAAAAGGGATGATGCTCACCAACTGAGATGTATAATAATGAAATATTTATGGAAAAAGAAAGACAGAAAAAATAAAAGGAAGGGAGTGGGAACAGGAATCTGGAAAAACTCACCAATGGCGTGTTAAAATAAGGAAATCTCGAGAGAGAAAATGGATGAATGTTTTTTTTTTTTTTTGTAATGGAAAAAGAAAGATAAAATAAAATAAAGAAAGTGGAGCAACGTGGGTGGGGTGCAAAAGGTGAAGATTGACTCAGTGGCTTCAGAAGAAAAAGAAAAAGAGGTATTGGTTTGTGCAAAAGTTGACATAGTGGGAGCTTTGGGTAATAGATTATAATAAACATATACATATATATATATATATATATATATATATTAAAATAAAAGAAAGTTGAGTGAGGTTGGTGGGTGTGGTTGTGGGGCTGTGTTGTTGACCACTGTATAACATTGGCAGCCTTTGAATGACTATTAAGAGCTAGACAGCCTTTCAGACAATTTGCCTATCCCTGCACAGAGTATGAATAATGGTAGTACCCACCACCATTTGTACAGCTTCCCATAGAAATGACCCATCTTGGCTCGGGCATTTGATCATACACCTTGCGAAGAGCGGGGGCCATCTTGTTGGTGAGAGTGCCAGCGACGATCATACAATCGGACTGTCTAGGGCTCGGCCTGAAGATAACACCAAACCGATCCAAAATGTAGCGAGCAGCACCGGTATGTATCATTTTGACAGCGCAGCAAGCGAGACCGAAGGTCATGGGCCAGATGGAGCCGCGGCGAGCCCAATTCATCAGATCGTCGACTTTCGAGATCACGAACTCCGCCGCCTTCGACAGCCCCCCCGGCGACGTCATCGACGGAGGCGGAGGGCGGGAGTAGGGCGTGGGCTGCGACGGCAACGGCGATGGCGGAGCCAGTAATGGGAGGGTTGTGTGGATCGTTGCTGATCTCTGTGATGCGACTAGGGCCATTCGATGTGAGTTTCGAGCTAGAAGAGCCATGGAGGTTGGTTGAACTTGCAGAGAGAGAGAGAGAGAGGGAGTGAAGGCATGTGTAGAGGTCCGGCGGGCGGCCAAGGCGAGGCTGCCGCCCCATGAGAGGAAGGCTCACTCTAGACAAGATCAATGCAGCTATTAATGACATGTCAACTTATGCCGAAGCAAATGCTCAACTTATCACAGCCCCAAGAAAGAAGGTTTCTGTCCATTTCTCCTTTTTTTTCCCCCCTTTATTTTGGTTCAGTTGTAACTAATCTTTTCAATTGTCCTGTTTTTTTTTTTTTTTTTTTTTTTTTTTGAAGTTGACAGAAAATATGTTGGACAGAGCTCTGGTAAGTAAATTTAATCCGGTGCCCACCGGTTAAGGTTTCTTTTACTACTTGTGCCATTGGAGGATTTGAACTTATCTTGAGATAGCGGTTGTTGTCCGGGTTCCAATACAATGGCCATGCCATTGAAAAGTATTTGAAAGGTGCTGAAAATTTGACAAAGTTTGTAGCACACAGAACTAAGATCCAAATTTGTGTTGCCATTTGTGGATTGTTGGGACTTCTTCATGTTCTTAATTATGTAAATCCCAATGTTCATCCATGCACATAATTTTCATTATTGCCATAAAATTTGCAGGAATTAAGAGAGATTGCCACTACAGAAGGAGTGAAGGGCAAACACTTTTTCCTAGAAACTGACATGAAAGGTCCTTCAATGAAGCTTGACAACACTGGAAAAGCAATACTAACTGTGAGTGTTGCTCTATTTGCAAATCGGTGTTTGGATTGCAAAATGAGAAATATATAATTATTTGTGGCTTTACCTAAGTAATTACATCTACTTCATATGTAAACGACCTACAACTACGTATTTTACATATTAATAAAAAAAATGGAAAAAACATGTTGATATTTGCTTTCCCTGGTATAGGCAGAAATAGATCTAGGAAATAGTCCTAGAAAACTCGCACTACTGTTGACATTTTTAGCTTTATGCTGTGTTTGGTTGGGAGATTTGGAGAGGGATTTGGAAAGGGAAATGGAAAAGGTAAGTGAAATGTGAATAAATCATGCCTATATTTCACATAGTTTCACACACCTTTTCCCTTTCCCTTTCTAAATCCCTCCCCAAATCCCTCAACCAAACACACCATTAAGCATTTGGATTGGCAAGAAATGCATATTGTGAATGGTAATGAGTGAGGTTGCCAGATAGGACCCTCTGGGAAGATGGCAGACGCTAAGATGGAGAGGAACTACTAGAGAGATTGTGGAAGTTCAATGCTATACATTGGAAAACTGGATCAAATTGACCTTGGCACAGTTTATAAATGGAATATATGTTTTTTATATCTGTTAACGTAAGTTCAATGAAGTGATTAGGACTTCACACTGGCAATATTCAATGCTTTACAGGTCCTTCGTCACCTTGGTCGGATAAGCGAGACACGGATTGGGCATCACCGTGTGATCATTCTTTTAAAGCCTCAATGAACGGCCATGCTTCCACAAATATTATACGAGTGAATGTATGCTTTCTTTCTGCTTTCTAATTTTGTTTCTTTTTCCAGAAACTGCAAGCTATGACTTTGCATAAGGGAATGTAACCTGAACTAGTTAAATTGCAGAAAAGCCATGTATGTGGAAGCTCCCTTTGAAGTTGAACACAATAACATTGTATTAACTTCTGGAAGATTTAAAAGAAACGTATGCTTCGTTTGGGATGTGAGTTTATCTTTTGACTTTTTAATTATTTTAACATGGGTTTAATAGTGTCGTTTATGATAGACTTTTTGAGTTGTTTTGACTTTTGTGAGAGAAAAAATGAAATGATTATGGTTTGAATATGACATTTTATTTTATTGATTTTCTAGTTTATTTTATCTTCTTAGAACTATTTTAATCTTTTTAGTCCCAAAATTTCATATGCCAAACGAGGGCATATGATTAAGACCTCTGTTTCATATATACGGCACAACTGAGATTTATATTCTTCATATTTTTAATGGTGTCTAGTTAAGATATCATTAATTCAAATTAAAGTTACACCTTTGTCCTTTCTGATGACATTACGTCATACAATTACTTACAGAGACTTATGTCCCGCATTCATCTAATAGTACTGGTAGCTTAAAAAGGTACAGTAGTGTAAGTGCCGTGGTTCTTCCTAGATGAAAACTGTTCCCATTGTAGAAGACCATATCAGGGGAAAAAAAAAAAAATTTGGCCATTAGCTTCCCTGAAGATGGGAATTATAAAGAGACTTATAAAGAGGTTCTTCCTATGAACATGATAAAAACAAGTTTTATTGAAGTGTAAATGTTAATAAATGTTTTGGTAAATTTGACAAAGTTGTTAAGTGTTTTTGAAAATCGTCTTTTGGCTATTGAAATGAAATTTTTCTTCGAAATTACAAAGTTGTTTCAAAAACTCTTTTTGACTGTTTAGAACAAAATAAATAAGTTTTGATCTATTTGTTAAATTATAATTGTGCCTTACATGTTTATTGATGCAACTGACAAAATTCAAGGTGATTTTGGAATCAAAGAAATGTATCTCAAACTCAAAAGTCATAAAGGATTAACTTATTCACAACGAAGCCGTAAATTCCAGAATTATGGTCAGCCAATCAAGTCATCCAATTTGCATGTTGCATCAACATTTTTTAATTCAACCATATGCTTCTAATCACAACTCTCTTCCTTCTCTTCCCATGGCCTCTCTATCTTTATTTTCTCTACATTTGCACCGCCCTACCACGACCCAACACCAACTCCATTGACCCCTGCCACTTCCATCTCCTTATCTATACGCTGCCGCCGCCGTTGCCGCCGCCGCCACGACCACCACCTCCCTCTCCCTCCCTTCTCCTCCTAGGATTGAGCTCCTTCCAATGACCATTGTCACCTCCCTACTCCTTTCCATAGCTTGCTCTAATTCTATTCCCTCCACTTGTAGCATCACATCCTCTCTCCAATAGAGCACGCACTTTTAGACTCACACTTTCCTCTAGAATGATGCGACAAGAAAATTGGGTCTCATGTCCTTGAGTGGATAACAAATGAAGAGTTGACACATATGATACCATATCATTATGGATATTATTGTGGGTGTTTTTTGAATAATGCTATATCACCGATTGGAATATCAATTAATGTACTAATAGATGATGTGTTATAATTTTAAAGATTTTTTGCTTTTATAATTTGTATAATGAGTGGATTATAATTTTGAAGTAATAATATCATAGTATATATTGGTACACTAATTGGTATATCAATTAGTGTGTGTAGCACCACCGATCAAAATAACACATAATAAAGCTAAAACACATATACAATGTTTAGAAAATTCTTATCTCAAGCTTTAGAAGAAGAGGAGGAAAAACTCCAAGATCAATCTTGTAATATAACCTTTGATGTATTTTTCAATTTGGTCTAAAGAATTAGGGTCTAAAACCTAATAGATTTTTGATGGATCAAGGAATTTGTAAGATTTTGGTGATATTGTTTAGAGAGAGATGAGAGAAAAAAGAAAATGAAGTATAGAGAGACAAAGAGAGAAAGATAACCGAGAGAGAGAGAGAGAGAGAGAGAGAGAGGCTTCCTCTTGCCAAGAACAAGAAGAAAAGAAAAAAAAAAACAAAAACAAAAACAATAGCTCGAATTTTGTCTTGTCCCGAATGGCTCGAATTTTGATTTGTTAATTCTTCGACTGATCATCCGGTCGGTCGTTCGAAAAAAATGCTAATAGCTACAATCGACAAGGTGACAACTACGATAGACAAGTGTTTCACCGATTATTCGAATGATTGTCCAAGTAGTCAATTGGTAAGTTCAAATTTAAGCCATACGTGCAAGTTTAATTCGACCTATCAATCTTCATTGAAAAAACAAATAAAAGTAAGGGAAGGGGAAGCTCCCCACGTGCCCTACTCCCACTTTTTATTTATTTAATTTATTTATATACAAATATTTATCTATATCTATATATATATATATATATAAACAAAAGAAGCTCTTACTTTCTTCTTTTTTTTTTCTTTTTTTTTTTTCGGTTTTGCCCATTAAATTTATAGATATTCTGAAAGAATGGTAAATGTCCAACGACCATTAAATTTATTACGAAGGGTGTGTGTGACTTCATAAAAATGTGAGAAGTGTCTACTTTTTGATAAATATTGGGTAATTCTATTTACACACCATCATTTTTCTCAGTACACACCATTGTCTAATTTTTTTAATTACCATTGTGTCCTTGAATGCAATTACCATTTTGTACAAAAACCCTAAAATCAAATCCCTCAATAAACACCACCACACCCCTCTAGGCACCACTATCAACAATCAGCCACCGCCGCCACCTTGTCCAGCTCTGTCGTCGCCTCACATATTCTTTCATCCTTCCTTGCTCTACCACTACCGCCGTCGCCACTACTGCCATCATTTCTAGTGAGCCCATACCCAACTGTAGGAGCCGGATAGTTGGAATAATCAAAAACGCACTCTGGAAGGAAGATATTACACGGCTCTACTCTTCACGATGAGAGTACCGAATATAATGAATAGGCCGAGTAGATACTGAACTGTAGAGCCGGATAAATAGGAGAATAGCGAGTGACAAATGGGCCTGGTTACGAAGCCCAGGGAACAAGTATAAATAAAGGAATAACCGATTGAGAAAGGTATGTGAGAACTATTATACTTAGCTTAAAATACAAGTAATCCTGAGAGTAGAGACTGACTTGTCCGTAGGAGTGCTAATTCCGACACCCCCGACCGGAGTGTTTATTTCTTTTCAGGTGACCAGAAGAGGATCTCGAGCGCTCTTCGGGATCAGAAGAGTATTTGCAAACCACTTCCCTACAATTGGCGCCATCTGTGGGAATACTCAAGCACATCCATGGCGAGCGTGACGGAAGATCCTCCGATAGTCACTGTCACCCCTATACCTCACGATGAAACCACTCCAACAAACTTACTTGGACCAGAGACTATCGCCGCATGACGTGCCTTGAATTTCGCCTCACCCTCGACTTCGGAGCACGAGACAATGCAGGCGATCATGGAACAAGCAAAGCAAAATGAACAGAGACTGGAGAACATGATCGCTGAGAACGAACATCGTCGTGAAGATTTGGCCTTAGAAATGGCGAGGTCCAAACAAGCTGCGCGCCTAAATTCGGAATGATCTTCGAAGGCAGGTGGTCGACAACCTCGAGCATGACAAGACACTGATAACGACTTCGACTCATTATCCCCGAAGCCTAGGAAGAAGGGATGACATGAAACCACCAATTCTTCCGAAGAAAGTCCCTGTACAATGCAGAAGCGAAGAAGGAAAATTTCGGACGAAGACCAACACGATCCCTTCGTACGACGGATTGCAAAGGCTGCGCTACCAAAGAAATTTAAAGCACCGTCGTTCACCCTGTACGACGGCAAATCAGACCCCACCGATCACATCCGCCACTACAAGCAGGCCATGACATTGCACGCAGACGACGAGGCCCTCATGTACCGAATATTTCCCAGCAGTTTAGGACCATTGGCGGTCCGGTGGTATTATAAACTGGAGCCGGCTTCGATCAAAACCTTCCACTAACTACAGAAATCCTTAAGGGCCAGATTCATTACCAACGAAGTCTAGCCAAAGCAAGCCGACTCCCTCTGGGCAATGCAAATCCTGCCAGGAGAAACACTAAAAGCTTATTCAGCGCGATATTGAGAATGCTTTAACCTTGTCGATGACGCTTGCAACGACTCCATGGCCATCACCGCCTTCAAAATGGGACTACACCCAGATAGTGCCCTCCGCAGTTCCTTGACTAGAAGACCCCCCAAAACAGTCTGGGGGTTGATGAAGAAAGTAGAGGAATACTGCAAAGTGGGAGATGACGCCTTGCGGGTTAAAGTCGGACACGTGGCCAACAAAACGGCCCCTCCCAAAATCGCTCAGCCAATAAGTTCCGCACCACCTCAAAACCCTGAACCACGACAGCGGGCTAAACGAGACAAGAGACAGGATTCTCGCCGATCCAGCGATCGATGCCCACACCAAGCCAATGAGCAACTGCAGGTCGATAGCAGGCGTACAAAGCGCGCCGACAAGAAATATACAGAGCTGTCAGAGCCAATCAGCTCAATTATGCCCAAGATCCAACATCTTCCATTCTTTAAATGGTCGTCCAAGATGGTGGGACCCCCTGACACAAGAAGGCGGGACAGACATTGTGAATATCACAAAGATCACGGTCATGATACGGATAGCTGCTATGCCTTGAAAGACCACCTTGAGGAATTGGTCCAAGATGGTAGGCTCCAGCAACACGTCCGGAAAAGCACAACCAAAACTGTCGCCCTTCGGTAGGAGTCACCTCCCCCCGGCGTTATACATATGATATACAGTCTTCCAACGCCACGTACCATGCATGCAATCCATTCAGCCCCCCAGATGCAACGCGCACAAACGAAACAGCCCCACAAAGCGTCGAGCATTATCTTCGACGATTGCGATCTTATCGACATAACACTCCCCCATATTGATCCATTGGTCATTGAACTACGCGTGAACCGGTTTACCGTTAAACGCGTCCTCGTTGACCAGGGGAGCACTTCGGAGGTCATGTATTACGAGACCTTCATCAAACTCGGCTTCAATGAATCAGACCTGTCTTCGGCTCCTCATCCATTATTTGGCTTCAACGCGAATCCGGAGTATCCGTTAGGGAAAATCACGTTACCTGTTCAGGCGGGCTCCCAAACGGTGGAAGTGGAATTCCTGGTCGTCAAGCTCCCTTCGCCGTATAACCTCAT